GAGCCCATCTGATGTTACTCATCCTGTCTGTGAGATCCTTCTGACGGCTTGATACTGCCCATATTCTTCCCAAGAGGAGATGATGACAGAGAGAAACATCAGCTCCACTCTGCACATGTACACAGCATTAATCACCACTGACTTGTCCTGCTAATGAAGAAAACTGCTCCCCTTCTCTCCTGCTCCTTCTTATATTTAACCAATTATGTGCCTTGGTGGATATTAACACTAAACCCAGATTAAATCTAAAGTGAATCTGTTTTTTGCCACAGCTTCTTTGGAATAGCTGAAAGTTAAACTGCACTTGTTTGTTTTTCTTTAGAAAAGGGCTGAAACTCCACTTTCACAAATTTTAAAAATACAGTTGACTCAGATTTAAATTAATCCTGCAGCAATTGCATTGAATAAACCAGTGAACTCATTATATCACCTTGAAGGCAGAGAAAAAAAGAGGGCTTTTTTGTTTTGTTTTGGGTTTTTTGGGAAGGAATTTTGTATGGGAATATCTACATTTTCTGCCCATCTCTCATATTTGGATCTATCTGGGGACTACCAGCATGGTTCATAACAGTTTGGGTGAATCTGGGATAAGTTCTCCCTTATAGACCCAAGGAAATATTCAGAGCCCATTTCAAGGGTGCTTACACACAAACATGGTCTATCTCTACCTGTTAGGAGTGCCCTAGGCAGTACAAAAGCATGAGGTGCTCAAAGCCCTGTCTGAACAGTCCTGTGTGGACCTGAAGTCAAAGAAAGCACAGTGATGCTACAAACTATTGAAACCGGAGAAAGAGGGAGGCTCAAGAGGTCAGCACGGACAGCCACTCTGAGGCAGCATCCAATCTAGACCATTCTCAGCAGCTATTGTTGTAGCTTACACTTTAAAACTTTTAGCACTGGAGTTCCTCAGACTCCTCTGACTATCTCCTCCAGTGCCTAACTGCCTACAAACTGTCTACAAGGAGAGGAGCATCTAAGTGCCTTTGTTCAGCTAATAGAAGAGATGACCAAAGGGAGATCTATCTGCTGTCTGGTAACTATTTTAGGTATGGGGGATACACAGAAGAAGGAGTCAGACTGTTCTTAGAGATACGCAGTGAGTGGACAACAAGCAGTGGACGCGAGTTGCAGCACTGGAAATTCTGACTAGGTCTTAGGAGAAGAGTTGGTCACAACAAGCATGGCTAGCACCAGAACCAGTACACAGAGGTTGTACTGGTTGAGTATCCTGGGAGATACTCAAAGTGTAACTGAACAAGGCCCTGAGCAACTTGATCTGACCTCAAAGTTAGCCCTGCTTTAAACAGGAGACTGGACCAGAGACCTTCAGCGAAGCCTTCTAATAAATTATTCTGTGGTACTGTATTTTTATGATGACATCTTTATGATCAGAAGTATTTTGCTTTTAATATGTGATTGAATTGCTGCAAAATAAGTCAATTTCTGGAAGACTATTACCTTGTTCTCCTCCATTGTGCTCTTCTCTGTATTAAACTATTGCTCGCTCAGTACAAAGCCTGTTCAGGGTTACCTAAGGTAATAACAGTTTACTCCAGGCTCAGATCCAAATGACCACTTCAGGAACTTTTGCTTGAATCAGTCTTGCTGAGAAACAGTGTGCACTAGTACAGGAAAGAATTTCTCCTAACTTCATCGCTACGCTTCCAGGAACCAAACTCCTCCCTGTGCAGGGGTCTGAACTGTTCCTGGGAGTTCACAATTTCAGCTTAGCATAGATGGTCACGCTGCAGAATAACCCTTGAGCTACATGAACTGCCTGCTACATTAGCAACACAGAGTGATTGCATTATCCCCAGACAAGGTGCAGTAATTTTTCCTCTCTGTCCCCTTACTCTGCAAGGTGATCCTCCAGGTTGAGTGAAAGAAAAGTGGTGACCAATGGAGAGGAAGCCATTGGAGCTACTGGGTTGTGCAGGATCTGAGCTCAGGGCAATGCCAGAGCTATAACTCAAACTAACTTCAGTGAAAAGAAACTCTTAACCTAGTAAACATATTCAACCTCCTGGAAAGCCTGGTAACAGTTTTGATAAAGCAACACATGACTTTTCATGCCAACTGCCTGTGCAAGTGATTTATGGACTGTAATATGCCATGGAACCCGAGCACTTCATCGGTTTCCTTAAAGACAGACAGGTGGATTGTGGCTGCATTTATTGAACAGCATATCTGCTTCTTCAAGGCATCACCACTCCAGAAATAAAAGCAAACTTGCTTTTCAAGGGAGCCAGACCTCTCATTTTCTAAGAACACAATAAATGTCTTGGTAGAATCATGCTTCGACAGCTTTGGATTTACAAACCTGAGAAGTAAATTCTGATTATTTATTTTGGATAAATAATGAACGGCATAAAAATTGCTGACATTAACCTTCATTGGAAAAGTTAGTTTAATGGGCCCCATAAAATCTTCTATTGATGGCAGGTTCATAAAGCTCCATATTGACTTCAGCTAAGGGCTATAACTTCTATCAATACTGTCAACAATTAATATTGACTAATAAAGGTATCCTGTAAACTGAGTCATAGCATTATGTTACTTTATGCTGCCATTAGCAGAATTTCACGTCTTCTTGAGAACATTTCTCCTATAAATCTGGGATTTCTCAAAATAGTCTGTGTGATAGCTAGAAGCAGAGGGCCCAGAGTAACACTGCTTATGTGCAGAGAGAGGAAACACAGAGCAACCTTTGGATGTGCTAGATAAGGATTCTGAGAGAATCTCAGGCTTCATTTGCTCCAACAGCAGGTTTCAGGCTATGAGGGGTTTGTGTGCAAAAATTTCTCACACCTTTATCTGTGCCAAGTAATTACAAAACAAAAATGTCCAAATTTTGGGTACACTTAAGACTTTTCGTTAGTCCTCTTCCTCCCTTGCAGCCTTTGTTTGGATACATTTATACCACCAATTCATCTGCAATCCCTATGTTGAAGTGATGTGTATTTCTCTCAGCTCTGGACCAATATTTCTGACCTCAACATGGCTGATGCCTCTGACATCTTCCCAGGGAAGTCTAAGCATCAGCAGAAGCTCCCCAACAGCACAATTTGGATTGTAATATTTTCCCTCAAGTTCCACCACCTCCTTTTTATCAATAATACAATTACATACTGGACATCACTGCTCCCTAGATTTTATTTATGTTACACAGACTTTGTATTTTTGAACATGAGATAGCTTTTCTCATTCAAAACACTCAACATCCAAGACTACAAATGCCTAGGGCTCAAAGAAATTCCTTCTACATTTGTACAGCACTTAAAAAACCTTCAAGTATATTCTCCACCTTTCTATCTTCCCTTTTCCCTTTGCTATGAAATGGTAATTCAACAAATGGTTGATGTACCATTAGATTTAAGGGAAGAGGAATTGTATGTTGTCTCAGTCCTGACATGAGTACTACTGCCTCTGTTATTACTTTCAGTAAAGCCTTTCAAGGCATGCACTGTTGCTAATGTGTTGTTGCTAATATGATTTCATTTGTAAGTGATCTGTAGGTACAAAGTTGCATTTGCACATGTTGAGATAGCATTACGGAAACCAGTGAAAAAGACTCCAGCAGCTAATGTAATTCTTCTCTCTTAGGACAATTTAAAAAAAAAAAAAAAAAAAAAGACTAAAATTCTGTACTTTGCTTTTCTTAGTAGGCATGGAAAGAAAAATGTATGGGATAGGATCACAGCTGCTTATACACCACTATGGAAAGCACAAGAGAGAGCTTTGGATACAGGAGAATGGGATGGAAGTGCAAGGTGTTTGCCTTTGGTTGTTTTCTAGTGATTTTTTGGGAGTAGGCAAAACTCTAATTGACCCTGATGATCCCTCTGGTTTTTCATTGAGATGCGAGGTTTGGAAGGAAAACAATATAATCTGACACTGTGTGTCTGCATATCCTAATGGGTGCAACCCTGCAAGATACTGACTAAGAAACTTAAAAAAATATTGTAAAGAGAATTTTAAAAGATTATTCTGTGCATGCTTTACACAGAAGACCATTTATCTTTGAACTTTGCCTAATATATCATTATCTCTGAGCAGAAACTTAATAAGCTTCTACTGTAATTTTGTTGGGAGTTAAACATCAAATCATGTGGGTGGTGTATGTCTCACCGTGTCATGGCTTCTCAAGGAAAAGTCATCATTTGTCACTATAATACTGTGGCAAAAAAGCATAAAGAGAACAAGCAATACAGTCATTTGACATCAGCTTTCTGCACTGAGCTTAAGCTCCCGATGACTTGTACGCAGCAGCTATATTAAGAAGCAGGCTGTGCCATAATTGAATTAAAGGTGCAAAGGCATATAGGGCTGTGTGAACTCCTGGGTCAAGCTGCAATTGAATCAAAATCCTCTCTCCTTCCTACACTGCTTGGCAGAACTGCTGACCAAAAGGTTTGCAGACCTACAAAATACATACAGGAGTCCCCGCAGCTGGGGACACAAAGTTACAGAGATAAAAAAAAAAAAAAAAAAAAAAAAAAAATCTGTGACCTTCAGCTTTTATTTGGCGTGAAGAAAAAGGCTTCTAAAAATATTTCACTGTCGTTTTTCTTCAGAGAGCAGTCAGCTGATTTACATAAATGAAACGGCTCCTGTCAAGGAACCAGCAAGGAAAAGAAGGAAATTATCTGCCCTGAAAATCTGTAACAAAGATAAGAGCAGCATCGGCCAGGGGAGGGGAGATTTAAATGCTTTTTCTCTGAAAGGTCGTTACAAAAAGCAGAGAGAGTATTACAGCCACTTAATGATCTCTGTCGCTGTGATAAATAAGTAGGAGCTTCTCCAGCAGTTTATTAACAAACTCTGTAGGACAGTACAAAAGGCCATGATGTGGGGCTATTAGAAGATTGTTTTCACTGATAAAAAAACAAAACAAAACCAACAAACCAACACAAAACCTAAGGAAGATTAAGCTGGAGTGGTAAGAAAAGGCACTTTTGGTAGAGCTTGAGCTTGACATGGCATGCGCTGTCACCACTTACCGGTTTCAGTATTCTCATGCTCTGTGTCGGTGAGGGTGAGGTTGGAGTTGGCCCGGCTTGACAAGCAGGAGCTGCGTCCGGACTTAGTGTTGCGTCCCCAGAGCCTCACAGGGTGCTCGGGTGACATGACTACATCTGCCTCTGTGTCAGCATCCGAGCCGGCGCTGATGGAGTAGCCACAGTGAGGCAGTCCGATATCAGTCCGGTACAAAGTCCCATGTGTGGGTGTCACATCTTCAAGACCCAGCTCTCGCAAAGAGAAGTTGGCTCCTGGGAAGAAACACAGCAGCCTGGTTAGTCTTTAACAGGAGATGGTTTCATCTAGCACAAGTCAGTGGCCGAACCATTCATCCTCTATTTTCAAGTGGGGCTCAGCATCTCCTGAGTCCTATTATCACAGAATCACAGAGTCACAGAATGGTTGGGGTTGGAAGGGACCTCAGGAGATCACCTAGTCCAACCCCCCTGCCAAAGCAGGTTCCCTACAATAGGTTGCACAAGTAAGTGTCCAGGCAGGTTTTGAACATCTCCAGAGATGGAAACTCCACAACCTATATTACACCAAAGATTCCCATTTTGTAATCTTGCTTAGTGTGAGACCAAAGTGACTATGTGCACCTGTGTTCCTGCTTCTAGAACCTGACAGAAATTCAGTTCAATGAAATCATCACATTTGAAACCAAAGACAGATGGAGAAATGGTGGAAATCTTTAGGAGAGGCAAAAAGTAATCTTCTCGAGAGAAACGCAAAATGAGGCATGCAATGATCAAAAGTCCTACCATGCACCTGGCAACTCTACTAAAATAGGAAATTTGAGTGAGTACTTCTTGTTGAAATCCCTGAAATTACATACCGGGGATTTAAATTTCCTTTAGTGATCTCACTTTCCCCTTGTTGACCACTCACACCTTGACACAGTTTAGCTATTCATCCTGATCCAGTCACAGCAGAGGTTATTTGGCTGCAAACAGATGCAATTGTTTAGCTGACTAAAAATATAACCTGAAAAATGACTCTGGAGTTCATGTTTAGTTACCTGCAGAGCTTCAAAATCAGACCAAATCGATGTGAAGGAGGCTTCAAATACTAGCAGACTTTGTTTGGAAAGTTGGATGAAGAAAGATGGGGGAGGCAATTAGTGGTTCCATTTTAATCCACATTTATTTATTAATACATGCTTTTCTTTTTCAGCCCTGAATATCTTTAAAAGATTTTGGCCACCTGTGTGTGACTTTAGCATTTACATGGCATGGTGCACCCCTGCTCCTGTTGCGCTATGCCTTGATCGTGTGGATTAAGGAACTTCATCTATAACTGGTAGGAGACATCAGACCCTGGATCATGGCCAAATACCAACACCAGTGATCAAATTCAGTCTAGCTGGCTTCTTCCCATTCTTTCAATACGTAAATCCCCTGCAATAAAAAGAAAGGTGGAACCTGCCAAATGTATACACAGGCCACAGACTCAGTTTTAGAGCAGTGTTTGCAGCTCAGAGTGTTCTGACAAGATAAATCTGAATGCATGATCTCCAGGAAAGTTCAGGCCCAAACCTACCTTTGAACAGTGATGTTCATATCCACTCATTACTGAAATCTGTTCATCAGTTCTGAACCTCAAGACCGTATCCAAAACTGAGTTATGATTCTCTCCCTGCTCAAAACCACACAAGCATGTGGCTCTCCTCACATTTCCATTTGTTGATGTTAAATATCACATGGTGGAAATCATGTGTCCAATAGAAACAGTCAGATTTCTACTTTTCCAGAGTCTGGTTTCACGTTTAATGGAAACACCCTGGCTCGATCCTGAGCCCTGCTGCACAGGGAAGGTCTCATATCATAGCACACATGCACTGAATGATCAGTTGGCCCCAGGTAGATGCTATTTTACTACACTTCTTCATTCAGCTGATTTTGCAGCTCATAGTGAACTGACAGAAGATGTTTGAATGCATGACGAATAATGGGACAGGACAACGTTTCCAGGTAAAGCTCAGAGAAGGAACTGTTTTGACATCAGGAGGAAGTAACTATGGTTCAGCTTGTTACAGATCTGCAGTTGAGAGCACTCAAACTATATAAAGCATTCATGAACTTCACACCTTTTTAATTGACTGAACAAGATTAAAGCTTTCAGACAGAGTGGACAGATAAGGTTGCTTGGGGCTCACACCTCCGTCAAACCCTGCGGCCTTACTTGGGAAGTACAATGCAAGCTTGTGGCAAATTAATCCATTTAACTTGATTGCAAAGAGCTCTGAGAGAGCATCCTCTACCACTCTACGGCATGAGGTAGCAAATGAACTTGACCTGAGTTATAAACACAAGGAAGCAGCATCTCCCCAGAGACCTCACTCTACTCTTCCAGTTTTGACTTTTGTGCAAGGTCAGGACAGTTGTTAAAACTATCCTCTGTGGAGGACTGGAAAACATCATCTTTTGATTTTGCTTGAGCATTTGAGTCACTGATGACAAGTTCCACCTTACCCTGAAACAAGCCACTCTCAACATCATCAGGCACATCAATGTGCAGTGTGACTGATGCTCTCCAGTAATGACTGCTACAATTAACTGAAAATCAAATTTATTTGCAATAAACAGCAGGAGACGCATCGATTTTCATATTCTATGCTCACCATTGCCTTTTAAACTGGAAGAACTCAAGTCAATAAAAGGAAGATAATAAATATCTGAGACGTTTAAATTCAGATCTAGTCTATTTTTTCCTGTGCTGACTTGCACGTTTGCTGGCACTCTCATTCTGGATAAAACCATTTAAATGCTGACTAGTTTATTTACTGAATTTATTTGGTCAATTTGATGTGTTTTCCTCCTCTACCTTCCAAACCAATGCAGAAAAGAAATTCTCTTTGCCTTGTTGATGTCGAGCAGGCTAATAAGGCTTGGTTTCAGTTGGCATGAGGTCAAGCAGAGCCACAAAGTGTGGTCCATTCATGGTTTTCTGCCAGTGGAAAATGTATCACAGAATGTCTGGAGTTTTTGTTAACATTCTTCAGGCCAGTTTTGGGATTCACAGGTGTTGTGTGGAAGGGGTGGTAAAAGAATTTAGCAGGAAATTAACCTCCTTGCATTCCAACTGACCCTCAGATAACTGGAGGAGCTGGGGGCTGCTAGGCTTAGATCCTGAGTGATGCCCAATTGACCACTATGGATCTGACAACAGCAGATTCACTCGATAGTGCGCTGCACTCCTGTACCCACAATTTACAGACTCACACAGCTAAACCTGCAGAATTTAACGGCATCCAGTTGGGCACGGGGTTGGTGTGGCTGGTTACAGACAGAGATAGCCCAATGTGACACTACAAGCCTTGACACACCAGTGCCAGATGCACTCAATAGTGTCCCACACCCACTGGCCAGTCACGACCTCATCAGGCAACAGCCCAGTAAGAAATAGTACAGCAAGTCTGTAAGCAAATCAAAGCACTTAATTAGAGCAACAGGATTAATACAGATTCTTGTGGATTGCTGGTGATAATCTACTGTCTGCAGAAATAAATGCTTGTACTAAAGTTACAAATCATTAAAAAGATATTAATTGCCCAAAGGTGACAAGTTACTAAAAAGCACCAAGTTGGTGAAATAATTCTTTAGAGATTTTCTAAGTTTCTGAGGAAGATCCTCGGCTAAGTCTAAGTCTTAGTCTTACCCAAAGGTGTTCCAATGGGGACGGGAAGAGAGGCTCAGCCTGTCGGCTGGTCCCAGGGGTCAGAGGTCTGCAATGGAGTCGTCCCTGACTGGTCAGTGATGATGTTTTCCCTGACTGTGATGATATCTTCCCTGATCCCTTCCTTTCTTTGGGCTATGAATCTATTCTATTCTATTCTATTCTATTCTATTCTATTCTATTCTATTCTATTCTAAATATTTTTTATCTGCAAGGTGGAGCTTGAGTGACTCTAATCATACCTTTAAGGTGATTGGCAAAAGGCACTTCTGTTTCCCTTTTCAGGTAGAAGTTACCAAAACCTGGAGCTCATGCTCAGTAAGGGGGAAGGAGGGGGGTCAGTGGTCTGGAGTTATGTTTTTGACCATTTTGTTTTGTTGTAACTCGAGGTCCACACAAAGAGGGGGTATTTTTCTAAGGGGTGCCAGGTGTCAACCCAGGGTCGCTCGTAGACAACACATCAAGTCTCGTGCCATGCTGTGATGGAAATGAGAGCTGGAAAAACAAGCCTCTGCTGTCTCCCCTCTCTTGTTTTTCCTTGATAAACAGCAGACCTAGTAGGGAGGTAACCTCAGAGAAGATTCTTTACATGCCAGCTGTATTTTTCCTCTGGGATCTTCTTCAACATTATACCTTTCCCTTAGTGTGTGGACACAGCCATTTTCTGATTTTTAGATACCTCTGGTAATTACTCCACAGCAGGTTAAACTGAGAAAAAAATTATAAATTGAAAAATCTTTTGGTGATATATCAGAAGTAGAACTGGCACCCTGATATGGTTAATTTTAACTTCTCAATTATTACTTAGATCAGTGGTTTTTCTGTTTCTCAGTACCCTACAGAATTTTCCTTGGGAAGTATGAACTTGTGTATAGCAAATTTATACTCCCCGTCAATAGACTGGCTTTTCTTATTTATCTTTTGTGGGCTTCTTAGGAGAAGCCCATGGACCTGCATGGCCTCATAGACCCTCAGGTTGAAAACCACTGACCTGTACTAATTCACATCTACCCTGCATGGTGAATATATTGTATGCAGTGAGTAAACTCAATGACCTAAAAGGTTTCCTTTTCTTTATAACTTTGTAGATTCCTTAGAGAGGATGAAGTGCTTCAGAGTTGCTAAGAGGGAAACTCCTTTTATGATTGCAAAGTATTACTTACAACACCTATTGGCCCTTTTGTTAATTATTGCCTGTTGCAGTTATCCTGAAATACAAACACCAAAGCCATGTGCACAAAGATACTTCTGCAAGTCATTTTGCTTGTGCATGCCTTAAAGATGAGTCTTGCACCAAAACCACAAGTGCATGGTGTTTGAAGAGTGAAATTAAGCAGCCCCCAAGTTAAACAAGTGCAATTATATGAGTTCCCTTTAGAGAATCATCTTCTCCAAACTGCAGTGGGTGCACTCAGAGCAGCCTGGGTCAGCTATTTTATGTTCGTTGTCTGGAATGCTGCCTACTCTATTTGAGTAGCTTTGCCATTTTACGCTTTTCTTGATGGACTTCTAAAAATAATTTATGTGAAGCTCTGCTTGGTTTCTGAACCAAGACACTCATGTCTCTATAGAAAAATGAAGATGAGACTATAGCAGGGGCCAGAAATCTACCTCACGTAGGCAACAGCAGCAGTGCAAATATAACTGCACTGACTTCAGTCTAGCAATACAAAAGAAAATATCTGGAATCTCTATTAGGACTGTGAAGCTCATGCTGACCCTTGAACATCCACATCTTCACAGCTACTGTGACCCAGATTCACTAAATAGACTCCTGTAAGTCCTTAAAGTGGTTCTTTACCACTCCTCTAATATTGGAGCACATCCCCATCTCAAACCTACAGCCTGCAAGCCATGTACAATGCCAAGGGTGGTTCATCTCATCTGCAGCTCAGTTGCCTCTCTTCTTCCAGCCTTGTTGGGCTTTGCTGTAGCCTAGATGGACTGTGTGGACAGTGACACTCTCCCCTCATTGTCTTCTGCTTTGACATCTTTGTTGTCTTCCTTCATAACAGAGCAGGCACATGACATAGTGAAAAGGTCTCCTGAGCAGACAGGGACTTGCCATGCTACCTCAGTATTGTGCAGCATGTGCACACAGACCTGGTCTCATGGTGGGAAGTGGCAAAGGACTGTCAAGAGGCAGAAAGACGAAGATACAGAAAATGTGTCTTAGATGATAATGAACACAGGCTAATGAACTCAATTAAGGATGCTGGTTTGTACACATCCCACATTTGTGCAAAAATCACAGAATCATGGGGGTTGGAAGGGACCTCAGGAGATCATCTAGTCCAACCCCTCTGCCAAAGCAGGTTCCATACAACAGGTTACACAGGAAAGCGTCCAGGCAGGTTTTGAACATCTTCAGAGATGTTCTGTTCCTCACTTCTCTATTTCCTGATACCTTGCTTTTGGCCTCAGAGTCCTTCAAAGGTAGCCTCCTACCCAACCTCAGCTCTCATCTGATTAACTTGTGCTGCTTAAAGTAGCACCTGCCGAAATTTGCTCACCCGTCCGGCAGAATTCATCGGCCTCCTGGTGCACCATGTCTTTGACCCGATTGCTGTAGGTCAACCTGGAGTCTTGATCATAAGCCTTCAGGGTCTCACTGGAGCTGTAGGACTTCTGGGGTACCTTGCTGTCCTCACTCTCGGCTGAAGAGCTGGTGTAGCGGCGCTCAGTGTCACGGCGCCGAGTCAGAGATCGATACGGTTTCCTTTCTTTTACATCCATGGCACTCTTGTCTGAGTATTCAACATGAAAATAATGACGTCCTTGTAGGGGTCAGATTGGAATAACCTGAAAGAGAATAAAAGAAATAGGATCTAGGTTCACACCTTTGGGCACCTGATGGCTAATTGCCTTCTTTATACATTTTTGCAATGAACAAAGGGAATAGACTGCAGGAAAACCCTCTTCAAACAATTACTGATGGAAAGAAAGTCTCAATTAGGTGTGACTCATTTGATAATTGCCACAGCTAGCGGGACACATACACACTGCAACCTGCATCTGTCTGAACTATGCATGTACCTGGAGATTTGAAACTGTGATTTTCTGTCTTCTTTCCATGGAATGTGAGTCAGATAGATACCTCCAAGAGACATCTATTCAGTCACCTAAGCTCTGGGAAATCAGGCCCTTATGAAATGTCTTTATTTGGGCAGATGGAGAACTTTGGAAAAATGCTGTCCTACAGTTTTCAAAGTGTTTTGATAGGTCGTGAGTTTAGAAGGAATGAACAAAAGAATGAGACAGTGTAAGAAGGCAAGTAGGAAGGGAGAGGGAGAAAAGAATTATGGGATGAGATATGGATGGAAATCAGATGAAAATGTCTTCCTATTCAGAGGCCTCATCTTTACTCAGCTGGAAATATATTAGAACTTAAGCAGAATTGAGAAATTGTAAATAAAAGATAGTGCTCTGCTTCATATAACAGCATGGCCTGGGATTTATGCCTGTGGGAAAACCAATGTATATATGCACTGATATGCAAGCATACGTATCTGCACACAGAGAAAACTGATGTCAGAAATAAAACATGAATTAAAAGCATTTTTGTCAAAATAATTAAGAAATTGTCTTTTCACTTTAAGTCTATTAAATGTAACATAAACCACAGAGAAAAAAGTCAATGACTTGCAGAAAGATGGTAAAATATGGTTTTGAATACCTAAACTGGTTTATGAAGAAAAATACTGATAAAACCCACAAACCAGACACTGAAATCTCTAATTACAGGCTGAGTTTGTCAGGAACTGAGTCCTCCTGACCACTAAAGAACAGAAGCTGAGTCTCTAAATGCCACACAGGATATTGTTGTTTACTAGCAGTACTCAAAAACGGAAAGGAAGAGGATAAGAAAACACCTATCAGGTCTTGGTCTTTTTCATAGCAAATCCATATAGAAATGCCTTGGCAAGGATTGAATTACATTCTGTTGGCATTTATCTTTTGAAAGGCTAAATCCTGAACATACTAATGAAATCTTACTCCCCCATGACTCTAAGACCCCAGCTTCGCTTCAGATGCCCTGGATTTGTGTTGCAACACAGCACAACTATGGAGAATAGTCGAGGAGGGATGCGCTTTGCAGGTCAATTTAAAGGGATGTGGTGTAACATAGCGTTTGTGACTCTCAAAAATATGAACCTGTGAGGGGTGGAAGACCCTAAGCACAGGTTCTTATGACCTACAAATCACAATACTAATGCAGGATCTTGAGGACAACATTTTATTATGAATTCCTCACTTGCCGAGCTGTCTGGCAGAAGCATAGCTAAGTGAATTCTTGAGCTGAAAGGAGAATGCAGAGGGAGCAAAGGCTGCAGGATGGTTGTGAATACACCTTCAACTGGGCAAAGAAAAGGAGGGTCCCAGTCTTGTTTCTGCAATTCTGACTTTGCTAAGACTGCTCCATGAGGTTTTGTCCCCTTAACCTCCAAAATAAACTTTGCAATTGCTTTTTGTACAGTTTCTGTGGCATTCTTCCCAGAAATTAAGACACTACTTTAAAAAAAAAATTCACTTAATTCTCTCCCAGTTTATTCCAGTGATGGCAACAGACCAAGTTCACACTTCCTATTTGTCAGCAAAACTCATAGAAACTATTGAACACAAATGGAAGGACGGGGAGGAAGGGAGGATTGTCTTATAATTGAGTTTTACTTAAGTCATCCACAGAGATTTGAGCACCACTTTGATTTTAAACATGTGTTTAAACCCACCGAACTCACTGACTTAAATTCATTCATGAACTATGTGAGTTCAATACAGTGAATGCAAATGGGATTACTCACGGGCCAAAATTTACACATGTTAAATGTTTTGCAGAATAAGGGCCTGAGAGGTGCAAAAACTAAGGCCTGAATGAAGAAGCAGTAGGGAAGGAAATAGTGTTTTGCTAAAGGGCCAATTTAACATAGTAACATCGTGTGAGAGATCTACCAAATATTGGTAGATATTTTGCTGTATTGAATCAGACATATTGATGCTTTCACACTGGAGAGAGGTTAGAGGAAGAACATCCGACTGCTTTTCAGTACACTGTCTTCCACCCTTAAAAAAAAACCCAAAGCTTTTTGTGGCTTGAAAAATTGTGACCTTTTTTTGCAATTATTGTTGAATTTATTTTTCTCCTTTATACCATCTCTGTTTTTTTGTGAAATCCTCAAAAGGAGAGGGTTTGTTATACCTTTTAATAAAACACCTTAAAACAGGCTCCTTCACAGCAGCACTTTAGTAAGAGCTGTTATAATGAACATTAAAATTGTGATTTATCGTCATGGGGGATGGAGATAACAAAATGTGAGTGAGAAGCAGTTGCTATACTCTATAAGAAAGAAATAAGAAGAGGTGGCTTCTATCTGCTCATGAGTATTGCAGCAATTCTTACCAAGGGCTAGTCATTTAAAAACCCTCTAGCAGGAGAGGCACATGTGCCAAGAAAACCTTTCTGCACAGTTAGAGCTACAAGGTACAAACAGGGTCTGTAATTACCATTAGTAACCTTGCAACTTAGGAAATGGCCAAAAAAACATCAGGAAATTGACTGAATTCCCACCAGATGAAGGTTTTTCTTTTCATAAAGAAAGGTGCTGAAAAACTGAAATTCCTCCTACAGTTCATCAAAAATAGCCCTGTAAATTTGCACCATTCCCATACACATTCCTCTGTAACAGCGCTTCAATCCCCAATTCATTCATGTCTTTATAAATTTAACTCTCCTCAGCCCTTTCTTTATCTCTCTCTCGCCGCTTGTAAGGAGACACTTTTCAATGGGAAAGGTCACCTCCAAAACACATAATGAAGATTTTATTTTTATTTTATTTTTTTTTAAAAAGAAGGAACTGTTGCATTTAACTGACTTAAATAAGCTTCCAGCACCTCTTCACTGACATGCAGTTCTTGTCCTCTCATTTTTATGGCCCAATTCCCAGATGGCTTAGATACCTCGCCTTCAATGGAGTTGCATCGTCAGGGAATTTGACTCACAATGTTTCTATGATAGATTATTATTTTTTATCTGCTACTTCCTGTGTCTTGATTTCACTTCTACTACAATTTCACCTGTGCCATTAACACCTCACATTTTTCCTGACTTCTCTCTGGCACACGACAAAATCAAAGAATCACACTTGTCTCGGTCACATACTCAAACACCAGTTTCTTTCCGCATCTAGCTCATGATTACTCCTCATAATTTTAAAGTATTCCATAAGCTGGATGGACCTGATATAAAAAAATGAGACTTCTAATATTGTCCTTTCCATCCCTTTGCTCTTTCTTCCTCTGTAAAAGTACAAAAGCTTTCTGCTGTGAACCATTTCTATTTGGAAAGGACTTTCTTGTCCCGTAATGCAACCTTTCTGTCTCAGTTTGGTTCTTTCATCATCCTGCTCTCTGCATAATATATCAAATTTCGCTTTCTTTTTTTCCTCCAGCCCAATTAATGGCAATAGCCATTCTTATTTTTGTCAGCCCTCCGAGTGTACAATCCCAGCTGGACCACAAGCTCGTTTGGAGTACAATTCACAACGGAAACATCCTTCAGCCTTTACTTACTCAACTTAGAAAAATCCCACTGACCCCAGAAAGGGTTACTCCCATGCTAAAGCCTGTAAAATCAGACTCCTTGACATAGTTATATATTTCAGAGGTGTGGGATTCTTCTCTCATCCTTGCATATATGTCAAGAAGTGGAACAAAAAAAAAAAATCAGCTTTCTAGTTCTGGTGCAGTAGTGCAGTAAACACAATGCTTATTTGCAGCTCTTTTTATTTTGCTTTTGCTTTGGTTCGCTTCCAACTAATCCTTTTTTATTATGTTTTATCCTTTATATCTATCCTCCTCATTCTCGGTTCTGTTGCTTTTTGTTGCTCTTTGGAGCTTTGATTAACCACACTGGCTTTGTGCTGCAGAAGCGCACTCAATGAATGGTAAGGGGAATGATTTATTTTCTGAGTCACTGCTCAAAAGACAAACTTCCATCAATCAAAAACCAGACAAGAGAGTGTGACACCACAAAGCGATATGCTAGGAGGCTCTTACAGCAAAAGGGACAGGTGGTCTTTGATAGCTGACTTACATTGCAGGTCACTAATCACAGAGATTAGCAGCCAGGTGATAGACAGCGCCTGTTCTGGAAGGCAGCATGTCATATCATCCAATTTTCTGTCAAAAATGTGAGGGTTTAAATGGTAGAGATAGCTTTATGTGTTTCCTATATAGTTACCTCAACAGGGTGATGAGAAAACTGGAAGAGTGAAATATCTCATCTCCACAAAAACATGAGCTTGAATCCTAGTGGGTTGGTTCACTCCACCTTTGTGCTAGAAGCACCAAGTGACTTCCCATAGTCATTTGTTTTCCTCCACAAAACTGCCTCTGCAAAAATGGCATCCTCTTACTTGGCAGGGCCTGGTTTTTGTCTTCTTAAAGTAGATCTTCTCATTCCACTGCTTAGGGCAGGTTTTTTTTTTTTCCCCTATTTTTTATTGCTGCTGCCCTTTGTAGAATGCACGCAGCCACAGAGCAGCAAGCTGGATTTTATTTTCTGTCCTCTGGGCTCCACAAATCGAATCGTTAACTAAGACCTAATACTGATAAGTAGTGAGCAAGTATGCTTTTCTTCACTTTACAGAGGAAGACATGAGGCATGGGAAGTCAAAGTGACTTGCTTAAGGTGGTGCAAGAAGAAAGCAGCAGAATTGAGAGGAGAGTCGTGATCTCCCAGGCAAAATCTGATATTGAGCCCTGGATTTTTTGAGAATCAAGTCACATAAGCACAGCGGAATACTTA